AATACATGGGGAAAGTACCACTACTCCTCACCAAGTTATGCAGACTACATGAGTGCCTAATGATAACACTCTGCCCTACTGACCTTAGGTAGCCATCACTAATTGCCAAAACTAGGGTTGGAATGCCAGGTGAAGTGAGCTTTGGACTCCTTGCCTGGCTTATAATATCTGAAAAGATTTCTCATTAACTTTCAATCCCTGGATTTATCTGGACTTAACTGTCTACTGAAGACTTTATGAATCAAGAAAAGAACAACTCTTGTTGGAAAGCTTCTCATTTATTTGTTTTCTGTGTATCTCCTCCTCAATATATATATATATATATATATATATATATATATAAAGCTAAAGAGTAAAAAAGTAGTGAGACTTGCAAAAGCTCTTCCTCAGTTTCCACAACCAACACTCTTGGCACCAGCAGCCTGGAAATTAAAAGACATATTGCGATGGGAAAGTCTGCTGTTAGAGACCTCTCTAAAGTACTCAAGAGCAACGATGTGTCTCTGGAGACTAAGGTACATCTGGTACAGGCCATGATCTTTGCAATCACTTGTTATGCACCAGAGAGCTGGAAAATGACCAGGAAGAATAGGAGGAGAATTGATGCTTTTGAGCTTTGGTGTTGGGAGAAGAGTGCTGAGCGTTCCATGAACTACTAAGAAAACAAACAGATTCATCTTGGAGAGGGTTAAACTGGGCTGCTCCTTGGAGGCAAGGATTCTGAGGCTTCGTCTGACATACTTTGGTCATGTTGTAAGAAGAGACCGGTCCTTGGAGAAGGACATCATGCTTGGGAGGGTGGAGGGCAGGCGCAGGAGGGGAAGGCCCTCGGGGAGATGGATTGATTCGGTGACTGGGGCAATCGGGATGAGTGTGTGGGAGACAATGAAATTGGAACAGGACAGAGCAGAGTTTAGAGCTGTTGTACATAGGGTTGCTATGAGTCGCAAGCAACTCGACGGCACATAACAACAACAACAACAACAACTTCCTCAGTTGTTGATGTTATGTGCCATGAAGTTTACTACAACTCATATAGACATTATGACATTTCCTCAGTTAGTGGAGCCAAAATTGGTTTCCAAGATGTTTGTTTTGTTTTAAAATTGCTACTGAAACAATCACACCTTATTATAAAATGGGTGAATTTCTTAGCAAAATCAAAGTACATAAATGGTCTAATCTTCAATTTCTTCCATGTTAAACGAAAATAATTTGGTTTTGAAATTTCTGAAATGACACTCTATTATTAGTACCAAACCGGCTTTTGGTGTAAAAACTATCATGTATGGCTATCTTTTAATAGTATTACTGTTATAATGGTGAAGAGATTGAGATGGTTGACAGTTTCAGTTTGCTTGGTGCTACAATCAACACTCTTGGTACCGGCAGTTAGGAAATTAAAAGATGAATTACATTAGGAAAGTCTGCTGTCAGAGACCTCTCCAAACTCCTAAAGAACAATGATGTCAGTCTGGAGACTAAGGTGTGCCTAATACAGGCCATGGTCTTTGCAAGTACTTGCTATGCATCAGAGAGCTGTACAATGACTAATTATTATAGAAGGAGAGTTGATGCTTTTGAGCTGTGGTGCTAGAGAAGTGTACAGAATATACTATGGACTGCTAGGAGAAAAAACAAGTTTGTTCTGAAGAGGGTAAAGCCAGGCTGCTCCTTGGAGGCAAGGATTCTGAAGCTTCATCTGACATACTCTGGACATGCTGCAAGGCCTGATCAGTTCTTAGAGAAGGATGTCATGCTTGGGAGGGTGGAGGGACATTGCAGGAGAGCAAGACCCTCGATGAGATGAAATGATTTAGTCACTGGGTAAATGGGGGATAGGTATGTCAGAGACAATAAGATTGGCAAACGATAGAGTAGGGTTTAGGGCGGTTGCACGTAGAGTCACTATGAATCAGAGGTGCCTTGACAGCATATAACAACAACAACAACAACAACAACAACAACAATATAAGATGAAAAGAACTAGAAACCTGAGAATTTTGAAGGTTAATGATTATTTGACTTTAATTGATGAAAATGTTAGTATTTCAACGAAGTTCTTCAGTTCATAAACAGGTTGTTGTTATTAAGTGCCAATGTGTCGAAAGACGTGAACACTTGTATAACTTTCATTCTTTCTCCAAGTTCATAGTGTTTCCAGAGGTAAGCTATTTTGGAAGTGGATGCCACTCCTGTTTCCAAACTTGTTTTAATTGGGGAGCTCCACCAAATATTGTCAAATTTAGCATCACAGCAACCATGAGTTACCTCTGTACAGCAAATGGACATCCCAGTGCTATCTCACTTAGAAGAATATTTGACCAAAAACAATTAAAACCAGGCCCAAGGGCCTAAATGCCTTCTTAAATAGGAGGCTGAATACAATCAACTCACAGCCAATGGCTAGTAAACAATGTACCCAGAGTCTCACCAGAACCAGAAATCGAAACCTCTGTAGATTCAGGCTGCTTCAGAATATTCGCGGCCTGGATTCCAGCCCCATACTTGTGACTAAATGCTTTTTTAAATAGGAGGCTGAATATAATCAACTCACTGCCAATGGCTAGTAAGTAAACAATGCACCCAGAGTCACACCAGAACCAGAAATCAAAGCATTCTGTTTTTTTTTTAAACCCTTATATTATTGCTGGCTGAATTGAGAAAAAGGAAAAGTAGAAAACCTTATGTAGTAGCTTAAAGGATATTTCCTTTTATAAGATTAGTTATATGAGGAGATTTAGATTACTAGATTACTTCTGATACATAAATGAGGTATTTATATTTCTGAGGTTTGAAGGTTGAGAAATTTCGAGAGGGGAAAATACCATATTACCCAAAACTTTCTAGTGTTTTGATGTGAAGATATTGCCCAGAGATAAGTAATCCTTACTTGTATCTTATTTTGTAGGAGTTAAAAAAATAGACATGGAGATGGTCTTCTCAGAGTCACCGTAGTCTCCTGCTTCAACAGTGCTTGAACGGAACCAGCGCTCGCCCGCGTCTCCCCTCACTGGTCATCTCCAGCCAGTCCTCCGCCACCTCCTCACATCAGCACTCCTGACGCCCCAAGGTCCTCGCCTCCACTCCAGCACCACGCAGCCACCTCTCCGCCACCACCACCTTGACCGCTTCCCCTTCGCAGGTGCCAGAACTACAACCAGGCCTCGGAGGCCGCCATCAACCGCCAGATCAACCTGGAGCTCTACGCCTCCATGTCTTACTACTTCGACCGTGATGATGTGGCTTTGAAGAATTTTGCCAAATGTTTTCTCCACCAATCCCACAAGGAGAGGGAACACGCGGAGACACTGATGAAACTGCAGAACGAGCGAGGCGGCCACATCTTCCTTCAGGGTGTCAAGAAACCAGACCGGGATGACTGGGAGAACAGGCTGAATGCAATGGAGGGTGCGCTAAACTTGGAGAAAAGTGTGAGTCAGCCCCTGCTGGAACTGCACAAACTGGCCACTGACAAGAATGACCTTCATCTGCGTGACTTCACTGAGACACATTACCCGGATGAGCAGGTGAAATCCATCAAACAACTGCGTGACTATGTAAGCAACTTGCGCAAGATGGGGCCCCTGACTCGGGCCTGGCCGAGGACCTCTTTGACAAGCACACTCTGGGAGACAGTGACAGCGAGGGCTGAGTGATGCTTTAGCCCGGCTTCCCCACAGCCACAGGGGTGACTCCGTGGTCACTACCAGGCCACCTGCATGTCTTGTTTATTTTACCTTTTCTATAAGTTGGACCAAAATACCCACTTAAGTTCTTTCATTTGTACTATTCCTTCAGATATAGTCCTTTGGTACCCAGCTGTTGTGTTGGAGATCTTGGTGGGCCAGAAGTCTGTATAAGCCATCTTGGCTAAATTCTTTAATCACCACGGTGTCTGCTTCAGTCACATTTAATAAAATGAAACTTACAAGAAAAAAAGAAAAAGATATGATTGCTAAGTTCAAGAAGGATGATGAAAAATTGCTGCAAATTTATTTGCAATGCATGTAAAATTAAGGTCAAGAGATAAGTCTTTCAAATTTTATTTGGTTTTATCATTTTATTCAATTTTATGCTGATAGAATTTAAAGATTATTACATACTTTCATCTTGAATATCACTAATGCCAGGGGCAAAATTCATATATATCTTCATAAATACATTTAGTTATTTTTTTATGTTCCAAATTTTCTTAAGGGAAATAAAATTGTTTCCTTTCCTTACACAGCTTACTTCAATTAATTCTTCTTTTTCCATACAACTTTATAATTCTTGCCTCAAGCAGAAAAATGTGTAAACATGTCTTTTTTAAGCCAACCACAGGCACAGAAGTATTAAGACAAAAAAGAGGAAGAACACATCCTATTAAATAGGGCTGCTTGGCTTCACTCTGGGACATAGGAAGGTAAGATCTAACATGAATAAAGGAATGACAGTATGTGCTTCTCTTTACTTCCTGCCCACTTTACATATGTTGCTGTTGCTGTTGTTGTTGATTGCCTTTACGTTGAGCACAACTCATAGTGACCCTATGAACAAAATGCTGGAGCCTTTCTATAACTATTGACATTCATCAAAGTTCACAGAGTTTCCAGAGGCATTGTTATTTAGTAAGTGGATGCCACTTCTGCTTGTAAATAGGAAGAGAATATTAGAGATGACAGCCACCTACATGAAAAATTTGAAAATGCAGCATTTCATAAGTGAACAATTTTATTCCCCAAATAAGTTATCAAGGAGTGTGTTGACCACTTTCCAGGGGACAAGAGGACCTGTGGGGTATTTTCCTGATTCTGCATCAAGCTTCTCATGCCACTGGTACTGGTAGAATGAGTTTGCTAAAGATGGTGGTTACATATGGTTTTTACTATTGTTTCAGAGCCAGAAGGTCATATTTATTTAGCAGAGAACTTCCTCGTCACTGGTTTCACTGTCCAGGTAATTTTCAACCATAATGTTATTTCCCACTCATTTGGAAACTAGTTCAAAGTACTTACTGGGTTGAGGACCACAGTGAAGAAAAGTTCACCTCCTTGGATACTCTTGTCCAGTTCTTTAGGACCTCCTGGATATTCTTTGTAGAAAATTGTGTGAGTGAAAAGCCCACAGGTTTGTCTTGGGAGAACCTGAAGGGAAAAGGAATGAATAAGGAAAAAGTTCATTCCAACCAATTAATCTGTTGAGTCTGAGTTTTCTTTTTTTCTTATGAAATATGATACATAGACTGGTGTCATTATTCAACTCTAAATAAAGCTCAGAAAATCCTTCACACTCTGAGCAAGCAGGGATGACATCAGTGCAGATGGAATACTAAAGAAAGTTGAAGAAATATTTTAGAATAAGATAAGCCTGGGATTATTTTAGTCACTTATCTATTTTAAATCTCAAAGTCAGTACTTCTATTATGAAGCTTGGTAGATTCAAGTATCTTAAGCAAGTAGAAAATATGAAAGAGGTAAGTAAAGATCTTTTAAAATATTTAAGTTGCCTGTACTACTTTATAATGCTAGCCAACAAAAATGTTAATGAAAATACTTTTGCTTACGTTTATAGATGCATTAGAAAATGCATACAATTATAAACTTTAGGTGCTTTTTAGAAAATTGGAAAGGGTTGCATGGTCAATCAAACAACAGGTGGTTTAAATGCATCAATTTCTTTGAGGGAGAAGTCTCCAAAAATCAACTAGAAGGTCAGCTATCAGTCAGTTATGACTCAACAGCAATAAAAGTTTGTTTTTTAAAAAATTTGAGATAAATCATATTTAGTATTAATTCTTCAATGGTTACTGTAGACTGTACGTAATGCCTCAAATTCTAAATCTAAAGTTTGCCAGCTCCAAAATTAAAAGAGAGATTTTATAATTCTGGTTACTAACTTTGTTTTTAAAAACTAATTTTTTAAAAAAATTAATTAAAAACACAGGAGATACAGCTTCTGGAAACCTGCTGGAGAGCCAGCTATGGGTCTATCACAGCACGTA